TTATACATATGAATATATAATACGCAAAAAACTTTTCCTATTTTTTTCAAGAATTATCCGGGCTCATATAATTAGTTAAATTTTTTGTTGTCAATTAGTTTTCTATGTATGTATATGTACGTATGCAAAAGCATTTAAGTATATTCAAGTATATATACATATATATGTGTGTGTATATATGCATGCATGCAAACACACATACATTATACAATCAAATTTTAATAAAATTATATATATTTTTTCTTCATAAAGTTTATGATTTTTGTCTTATATATTCATTATATCTAACATCGTAAAACTATAAAGGCTTTATTGACTTATTAACATTTCTTTTTATTTATTTATTTTACAAAATATAGTTAGTTCATATTTTTAAACGTTAATTATGTTCGAATGACCCGAATAATTCTTAGAAAAAAGTAATTATTATTATTACGTTAATAGATAATGTTAGTAATTTACAGTTACAGAAAATTAATTTATTTATTTGCCAATTGGACAGTTAAAATTTATAAATGTATAAATACGTTTGGCGAATAAATAATTATAATATTTGTGATATAAATTTTGATTTTGTAACTAAGGAATTGTTAATTAACATTAAAAAGAATTTAATATACCATCTTCATAATTTGCTTATATTCAATAAATAATTTTACAAAAGGTATTATTAATTCGTAAGTTTAGATTGTTAATTTAAGATTATTTAAAATCATATATATATATATATATATATCATAGGTAATATAATTGTATTAGTTATTTGGCTAAATTATTCAATTACAGATTTACAGATGATGTTTATTATATCTTTTATGGTATTAATATTACTTTTAAATAATATCTTGTTTATTTTTAGTATCACTTTTACTATTTTATCAATAAACGCACTTATATTACATTAATTTGCCATCTAAATCAAATGTTTGATAGTGTTAAATATGAAAATGTTCACTTCTATATGTGCGATTTCCGGTATTTATAGTTGTATTATAAAAATTAGGAAGGTAAATCAATATTTGGTAAAATAATAATATTTATATTTATAAACAATATTTATATTTATAAAAAATGCAGCCATATCCGTTTCTAGTTCGAATGAATATTGATAATTGTAATAATTTTTTGGATTTATATGCAATTGTCAATCATTATTTACTTAACAGAGAATTAAAACTAAAGGCAATTAATATTAATGAAGAAAGAAATTCTTTCTCATGTAACTATCATTTAGCTTTATAAAATTTATTATACAAATAAAAAAAAATTGAAATAATTTTCCAAAAATTGTATAAATTTCTTCGTCTAATTAGCTATTATTTATTATATTTATTTATTGTAATAAGAACGGCTGTAGAAATATGTAACTACGAGAAAAATAAAGGCAATCGAAATGACACTTTGACTTGTCGTTTAAGCGACTTTTGCAGATTTTCTCGAATTAAATATACATATTTAAAAGATTCAATTATCACTGCGGACAATGTAACACATGAAAATGAATTGTTTTTTTTTGTTTGTTGAAAATAGCCATATTACCATTTATATTTAAAGTTAGTGAGTGGCCTGTTCCACAGTTAAAATATAGTCAAATAAATCCAAGTGGATAATACGCGAATGCACGGTGAAAGCTCGCAATTTTTCCACAAGTAATGTGAAACTGCTTTGAAAATTGTTAATCTTGCGAGTCAATGTGGATGTGCTAAAGCTAAATTTAAATAAGTTATAAGTTAGTTAATCGACAGACTTGGCTCACACACATACATTGTCTGGTCGACGAAGTAAAGTGTGGATTTATGCGAGTTCCTGGACAATGATACGAAGCATCAAACTTTTTCATAAAAGCTCGGCGCTTTTTTTAATGTTCTTTTACACCGTTAAATTCGACTATATTACACACACTTTATGCACTACTTCGAATAATCAATAGCTCTTGTTAATGTGGATTAAAATTATTTGTTAAATAAATTATGAATTATTATAGTTATGAATGATGATGCAAGTAAGAACGTATTGGTTTATTAATAATCAAAATTCGATGACAATTATTAACTGTTGTTGAATAATATTTGTATAACAGTCACGTTAAAACACATGTCCTACTTTCCTAATACTTCCTGTAAGCTTTTTATTATTATTATTATTATTTTTTTTTTATTAAAATCTCGTAATTGAATTGTAAATGATCTGTTGCCGTAAAGCTTGCTAAAATAAACAATTAACTTCTTTCGAAGATTCATTTATCATTGACATTATTGCCGTATCGTTAAATTCCGTATTAATTTTAATTGTCCTACATCATACATTTTCCTAAATGCAATGATATAATTTAAAGAAAAAAAAACTTTCTAAGGTACGATGTCTATAAAATTTCGTCTCTAGAAAAATTTATCTTTTATGCTTTTATGGAACACGCTGGAGTAGCGATTATATAAAACATACTATGTAATGTATATATATACATCTTAAATTTTAAATATATGTATGTATTGACGCTGTGTGCGTGCACGAGTATATCGAAATATATTGGCGTTGCACATAATCGTCAACTCCATGTTTTTCTTACAAGTATTGGATATATCAAGATGATAAACATATTCATTTTATTCTTTCAATTCTTTTGTAAAAAAAAAAAAAGAAAAAAAATCGCGAATACGAACGTCTTCTTTTATATTGGCGCAAACACGTTTATATTAAATTCTTATCTTATTCTTTTATTATTTATTTATTTATTTATTTTTTTTTTTTTTACTTTTTCATTATTATTCTTTTGCTTTACATAATTTATACTATTTGTATATAAGTACTCGTTTAAAGTGGATAAACGATCACATAATTGTATATTGTAAGCTATTTATTTTTAAATTTTAAACAAAAAATTCTATTTAAATTTAACATATAACTTTTTTTTTAGATTTATCTAAATTGTCTATCTGTGGCTATAATAGTATGGCACAAGTAAATAAAAAGTTCTTAGTGTCAAAGTAGTAAAGATAATTTATAGCCGTTAAATATACTGGGTGAGAAAGAATAATCATAATAACAATAGCAAGCAGAATTCTGTAAATAATTGAAATAAAAATTAAATTTAAGAAACGGTAAAGACAAGTAATCATGGATTATTAAGGTTTTAAATATTTTGTACAAGTAATCCAGTTATAGTTGTTTCTCTAGTTGTCATTGAGGATTCATACGATAAGTTACAGTTAATATGGTGCATTTAAAACTTATTTTGTATGTCCTTCTTGCTTTTAAGTAATTACTTTATGTATAATAATCGCAGCTTTTGTATTACAATTCTCGATCTGTGCGCACTAAGTACGAGAAAACATCATCTCACTATTTCAAACAACGTCCATTAGAAGGAGAAAAGAATTGCAGTTGGCACAAATTGAGGGCGGAAATTCCTACAACGGAAGTCTATAGAACGACACACCCACTATAAAATATACGATTTCTCATATAGAAACAGAGGAAACGATTTTACATTATTTAATATGCCTTTTTATATTTCACTCTATAAGGAATGACGAAGCTGTAATTAAGTTTTATAAAACATTAATTATTTATTTAATGTTTATAATCATTTGGTTAATTTTTGGAAAGAATTAATAAATATTTTTATTCATTTTAAATAAGCTGTCGGCTTTATTCTTTTGTCTTAATATAATTTTTATCTAACATTACAATAGTCAATAAATTCAAATTGTGAATAGGAACGTGAGTTTGTCGCTAAATGTCGCTAATTAATTCATCTAAATCTTTTATTTTTATGTAATACTTGGGAAAAAAAAAACAATCAAAAAGAATTATTCACGTTTCAATCACATTTACGTTCAATAATCATTCTTAATAAAAAAATATTTAAAAATCGTTTCCTCTTACAATTTCAAGCCATTGTAAATTAAGAATAATAAGTATAAGTAATCACGACGACCAAGTTAATTTTATCTAATTAAGGTACTGTTAATACAAATTAATAAGTTCTTTATTTTAATTACTTTTATATATTTGAAAATCTTCACACCTATTATTCAAAATATATGTCAATTAGTATTATTGTTTTTTTTTTTTTTTTTTTTTTTTTTTTTTTTTTGTTGGTTAATTGAAAAATACGTTTCATTTGGTATGGAAATTTGGTATGAAATTCAATGTGAAAATGAAAAATACAAATTATATTATCAAATCAATATTTAATAATCCAGTTTCGTTAATGTTATTTTTATGCGTAAACACATGCTGATAAAAAAAAGGCATAATAATAATAAAAAAATGTTCAGGGAAACTCAAGCTTAGCACAGAAACTTTCGATTGCATAATTGATTTTCAGCTGATCTCGGAATACATTTTTCTACATATCGAAATATTGACATCATTGAATACTTTGAAATTAACGCTTCTTAAAATAAATAAACTGTACGTCTAGTAAAATTAGCTTTCCATACCAAAGTACTTCCTTTTATAATTTATGCATAGTCTATGTACTTTTTTGCACAAACATCCGTTACATTAGAGAAATGCTTGTATTTTGTTTATTATTCATAATATTACTTAGAACATAACCGTGACTTAATTCAATTAAAATTCATTTAAAATATATTTACATTTATCTACCAACTAAGTTACATTGTCACTAATATTTTTTTCTTAAAACTGTTAACATTAATATATGTTTCTTTCCATTCCTCGTGTGTACAATAACTCTCCTAAGGTATTTTCATAATATAATTTTAAAACTGAAATGCAGTACATAGGGTCTTAATAAGCTCATATCGATGTTATCTTTTCTCGGCCCTTAAACTCGTCATCCTTAATTCGCGACAATTTCACGCAAGCCATCGCTTTGCCATTTATCGTCAGCGCACGCATAATCAATCGTCGATGCCCAGTAGTAATGTGTACCAAGCTCGTGGTACATTCCACTCAGCTCATCAAGAACGAAGGGGCAACTCGCTCCATAAGTGCGAAAAAGGAGGAAGGAAAGAGGTGAACGGGGATGGCCGAATGAAAGCGTGAATCACGTCAACGTAACGTCGCGGCAGACGTGTAATACGCGTACCTCGGGAGCTTTTTTTCGTCCGGCTCACGTGTCTCGCTCGCGTCCTCGTTACGCGAGTCAGGGCGTCGTATCCGGTTCTTGTCGGGCATGGGCGTGACTAATCGTCGGAACGCCAGTTACTGGGGCGGACACTTGACAACCGTCGTCGTCGCGAACTCGCTGAACTTCTTGTCGATAGGAACTCGGTCGTCGTAGAGGGTCGGCGCTTGGAGGATTATGCCCGCCGTGCCGACCAGCACCGCCAGGGTGAAGATCCATAGGAACAGACGGTCCAACACCATCGCCACGTACTTCCAGTCCTCCTTTACCTGCGACACACATTCCAAACGTTCCACACCTTTAAGCCTTTCGATTTTTCTTTTTTCCCATTTTCCCAATGCCAGCCCGTCATTAGGGAGTCACTTATTATATTTTTCAATTAATGATTCTTAACTTATAATAATATTATACTTTCTAGATCATTTTTCATTCCTAAGGCTCTTCTAATTAACGAAATCTTAAACAGCAATGGCTATACAATTATTGCAGATTAACGTTTTAACGTGAATTACATACTCTTGTTTGTTAAGTGATACTTTTATCTAAAGTAAGGGCATATATATGACATTTTTTCCCGGATAATTTTATATTTGAAATTTTACGACGTTTCGTGATTATTATGTTGAATAAGTATTAAAGGAAAAGTTTAAGTTTTGATGATTAATTATGCGACATGTATGATTGGTAATTAGTCTCGTCATCATCAATCCTATTCTATTAATTTTGTTTTATTTTGTCTATTATTCATTAATACTAACAATGATATTATTTCCAGTAGTCATATATTTTTATTTCTCTTATTTGTATTTAGGTAAGTAAATTTGTCGTTTCAAGAATAAATTCTCATTTTAAAAGCTAATTTAAGCATTGTATGATATTTCTTTAGTTGCAATGTCAAAAGTTCTAAAAACAAAACATACTGATATTTGTGTCAAATTTATGTTAAGTAAAGGATAAAAGAAAAAAAAACAAAATAAAACAAAACAAAACAAAACAAAAAACAAAATGTCACCGAATTTAAAGTTGCTATTACCGAATGGTGTAATTTAAAAGTCACAGAATGTTAATTTTTTGTAAATGTACAATAATAATTTTTCCGTAATATTGAAATTTTATGTAAATTTATTTCTACAATAAATTCAGCGCTTAATATGAATTGTATAATTTGAAGATTGTTTTTATAATATAAAATGCCCGAGCTTGTATTCATGCGAATTTGTTTAATTTATACGCAAATGACATTTTAATTTATATTAAATATAAGTATAGAATTTAGGATAGAAAACGATGATGAACGATTAAAATTTTACATAATTTTTTCGTATCATTTTACCGATTATCAGTTTATCAATCCTCACTATGTTGTTATTCAAATTGTTCAAAGAATTTAAAATTTTATCAAAATTTTACATACCCACGTATATTCGTTTATATTACATAGATAATTTTGCTCTTGGGACGATGAGTTTTAGTCGAATAGACTTATATAAATAATGCTTAAATCTCCAAAGTATTCTTGATTTGTGGATGAATCAATCGTTGCACTTTTTAGAATTAGAATGTGATAATGAAAAAGTATGGTTTTACAAATATTACTACCGACATACGTAAAGCACTTAGTAATATTTTTAAAATATCTTTTTATGATATATTAAACGATGGCCTCTTTATAGATCATAAGAAATGTCTTTAATCAGTGTTATTATTATCATTATTGCTGTTACTATTGCTGTTATTATTTTCAAATTAATAATTCCCGCTCGATTACGACGATCATGTTATCGTGGACGAATCGCATGTTAACCGAGTGCAAGCATCTTTAAAAAATTTCATGGCCGAGAAAGTTCGAGTAATTCGAGTATTTCTTTTGGATTAAACTAATTACGCTGTAACTAGCCTTCGTAGGCATATTAGAATAATAATCGGCACTCGCCCGTAATAACGCAATAATAATAACATTGAGGGAGTACACGAGCGAATCAGTAGATTACGTCCACTGTCAAACTGAACATGGACATTCTCGTTTGAAATGGAAATTTGTCGTTTCCGAACGCCAGAGTAACGTACGACTGGCCAACGCCACGTGAAAACTAAAATGTCAATGCAGCCTAGAAAAAGCTATTTCACGGAGTCATTAGCCCGCCGTCGAGTGCCAAAGCCACGGGGATCTCACCTTGGTCGAGTCCTCGAGCATCTTGGTGTGCTCGGCGATGAAGCGCACGCAGATGCACGACCTGTGTATCTCTGGTGGGCACTTGGAGTGCGAGAAGGTAGAGGAGGGCCGGAGTACCGGGCTCTTGGAGTCGTCGAGGACGGCAGCCGCGGCCACATCGCCGACCCCGGCCACCTGCAGGTCGTCGCACTCCGCGTGAAGAGGGAGTCGTGGAAGGCTCGGGCCGTGGATCAGGCAGCTGCCACCGAAACGCGCTCCGTCCGTCAAGCTGAAACCGAGTAATGCAACCATTGTGCTTTTCTGCGCTCTGAAGTGATTATTTATCAATCTCGTGTAATAATGTGTAATTTGTCAGCTATTATTGCTCTCTAATTTGAAAAAGTCGTAATATTACATACCGAGCTTGTCAGTCTTTTTAAATTAATTTATTATAATTTTTTTTGTGCTTTACTTTTTATTTAGTCACGCGTAGAAAGCAAAAAATTGTGAGTAATTACTATCTCTCATGACGTATATAGTGAGCTTTAGCTTGACAGATCGTTACTTTTTTTATAAAGTTTCTATATCACTTTTGTTCTTTTATCCTTCCCCGGACCCAATTTTTTTTTTTTTTTTTTTTTTAAGATATAAAAAGTTGTTATAGCCCCTTAAGGGCCATAAGTTTATTAAGAAAATTACTTTATTACTTTGCGCATTTTTCATCGTGAGCCAACGTCTAGTTAATATCAATTATTTAATTGCCTTTAATTGTCTTTAATTGTCAAGAAAATTGTTTTTTTTTTATTTATTTATTTATTTTTTTATTTTTTTACCGGTTGTTAAGAAAGGTATGGCTTATATAACAACTAGGGTAGAAGACGGAATATGATGCGAGAATTAGAAAATTATCCTACTTATCCCCTATTATAAAAATTATTTATAGCACATTTGAATATTCAAGAAGATGAAAATTAATGTTTGCAGGTTATCTCAATCAAAGCAGTGCTCGTTCATTTATTTAAAATACATTAATTCACGGTCTTGGTTCGTTATTCTATGTTAAAATTCTTTCAAGTTACATTAATAATTTTGAATGCAATCGTATCATCGTTGTCTTAATAAATCTGTGATATTAGTTTGCGCATTATTTGCGAAATATATTATCAACTAATATATAATTGCTACACTCTAGTTAATGTGCACTCAAGAAACTTATAAATATATGGCTTTTATGTACACATGGTCTTATTGTATTTTAATTATGAATTGCTTATGTAGTTTGAGGTAGAAATGTAATTTAAGATTACCGAAAGACTGCCGTTAAAATTTAGTTTTCATGTATTATAAATTTAAGCATTTATTTTGAAGATAAATCTACGAGAAATGTATTATTAATTCAAATATCGTCTGACGCTATTCCTCCTTTCCGGGGAGGGGGGGGACTTCGTGCCTGAAAGTAATAGGCTTCTTTTTGATTCGTACAGGCTCCATCGATGTTCACAATTTCCTTTTTCATTTAATAATACTAAGTTTTTTAATATAAATTAACGAATAATTGATCGTGTATTGAGATCCAATATAATTCTCATCAATATTAATATCTTTATTTCTATACAATTTAATTTCTTTGTTGTTTTTTTTCCTTTATATTTTTTATTATATGAATAAACGTGTTAAAAGTAAGTTAAGGAAAGGATGGTTTGCCAAGTAGGTCAGCGCTATTATTTCAAAAGGTAAGGTATGTATTTGAAAATTTCTATAAAATACTAAAGTAAAAAATTTTTTTTGTAAATAATTTCTTTTTCTTGTCAACTCGTTCTTCTATATGAGAATGAATTTCATCAGATTTTTAGAAAATATTTTTACACTTTTGACAATTCAGACTTTGTAACTTGCAGCTTAAGTAATGACTGCAAGTAAATTATTGTTTCGTTGTAACAGGTTTCAAGGTGATAAGGTTCGTACACTTGTTTTAACCATGATCGCGACTGGAAATTTGAGTACAATTATTGTGAGATAACAGATTTCACCTTATCCATCTCAAGGAGCGCATACCGATTTTTGATTACCTTCGTAAATACGCGTTTAAGAATAATATAGAATAATAAATGCTCGGTATCGTAAGAGCTAATTCGAAATTTGAAAATATTAAGATGTTTCGGTGCTCTTAGCCGCCACGTAAAAGAACAGGTGTTAATAATTTTGTTAAATAGTACTCGTAAAAAAGTCGTGAGCTTTCCATTAAATTTTTCTCTGCGCAGGTGTTAAATTTTTCGTGAATATTTTCGTATTACTTCGTCTAGCCGAAACTCTCCACTCCCGTATACTTATAAAACTAATATCCTCTTGTAAGAGATAACAAAACTTTTTTACATTCAACTATTGAAATATCCAAAAGAGCTTACCTGGAAGGTGAAAGATCGTCCTTGGAAGAAGTATGACCGTGGAATCTCTTGGAGGGAGTGAGATGCTCGTCGCTTATATCATGACAGGACGAATGATAAGGGTAATAGGATCTATCTTTGCTGCCCCTCATGCCCCTCATGAGGGCCCTGGTTGACGTGAATCTGTAATGGCGCGTAAAGAAAATCGATCTTGTATCGAGGAATTTTTTTTAAACATCTTTATTCCTACGATCTTCAAATATGAAAGGTCTAACGATTAAATGAAACTTAACGGGTCGATACATGATGGATACAGCATCGGATAAATGGAAAATTAATTTAATATATTTTCTTGTGTTATGTCTTGTTTTCACAAAGATGAGATATTTATACGTCAAATCAAACTTTTCTCTGTCTCTCTCTCTCTCTCTCTCTATTTAATTATAATTCATTAATTTATAAGACATATTCAGAGTTTAAATGTATATTTACTTAGATGTATATATACTTAGATGTATATTTACTATCATCGGTTTTATTTATCCCCGTGACTCGTCCCTTCGCCCCGAACAATTCCCGAGTTCACGAGGTAGAATAGGATAACGGCACTCGTCGGCATTCTTGCGGCCAATGCGAACTTTCCGCTGTCCCTGACCATATGGGCTTTCCTTTCCTTCGACGATATACGACACGAGGATTGGAGGCACTCCAACGGCGCTCCCGGGGCCAAGTAAACGCGAGCAACTCCAGCGATACCCGCACCAAGTTCACCCGGAGATCTATGAAGCTTTTGAATTTCCGACCTCGCTCTTTTTCATCCAATCTTCCTAACCTTCGCTTACCCACTGTACTTCTAGTTAGTGTCGAACTCTTGACAATGAAGGATGACCGACCACCGCGTACAGCGCCTTCGTACAATACCCGGAGAATAATCGGGAACACTTGTACCGTTTATTATAGCGAGAGGACGTATGTACTTGGCACCCAATGGAGTTGGTCGTTTGGCAAACATTATAGTTCCATTCAATTACGAAATATCATGGCGGACTATTGGATCGAATGGTAAACGAAATTATTGAACACGATGATTTTTATATTTATTAATGTTTATTTGGGAAAAAATACTTTTCGCAACTAACGTACTCGCCTGCGTATATTATTACACTATTTGGGAAAGCACCTAATGGCTGGATGATCGATACCAATGGCATTTTCAATTATATGCTCACGAGGAAAGAGGACATGTATTTGAAAAGTGCTTGTAGACCTCTTACCTAACTAAATGTCAATCCCGAGAGATGCGATTTTGTTCTTTCAATCATTGTTCAAATAGCAAATTATCTCATTAAATAAAGTATGTTTTTTTTTTTTTTTTACTATCCATATCATTTCAATATCTTGCCTGAATTATTAAACGAATCGATCCAGGATAAGAGAATTTTATGATACAGATGATTCTGTAGATAGAACAATAATAAATTTTCTTACGGCGAATTAATATAATTTTCATACTATCTTCTACACGTTAGGAGACATTAAATTTACAATTTACAATTTTCTGAATGCAGGCTGAGTTGAGGCTGAGTTGGTTCTCAAGAATTACGAAACTAGCGTCGATTATTATTGCTAATTTCAACATTCAAAGAACTATTGTTATAATTTTAATAAGATTATTAAGCAAATTAAATGAATTCAATTAATATTTGATAATATTTGAAAAACAAAATATTATCATTTAAATTGTGAATTACACGAATTTCCAAGGATTTTCATTACAAAATCTTCTTAATTCCATGAGAAGTCCATTAATGAAAGTTACAATTAATTAAAGTGATTTAAACATAAAATAATATGAAATAAATCTTTATCGGTAGGATTATTACATTTCAGATAATACCGAAACAATCGAAATTGTGAAATATTTAAAAAAAATACTTTTTACTTTTATGCTTGACGGAGAAAGCCAATTAATTGCCAATATGATAGTACAATTTGTTTCATTAAAAGTAAAAATGCGGTTTGAGATTTTTTTTTGAATTTTTGAAAAAACTTTATTGCGTATAACGAAGAAACTTTGTGAAAACATCCATTTTATCAGCTATATCAGGACAAAAATTTACCGCAACCGAGATTAATAGTATTATCCATAACTTTCCAAACTGATTTACCATGATGAGGAGGCATGCTGCTACATGAAAAATCTGCATGTAAAAATTCGCCTTAAAGAATATGCAATACGAAGTTTGAAAATAGGCGACGAGAGAGGAAAAGTTTATAAATCCTTGAAAAGGATAAATAATCATTTTATTTCGTACTGCTTAGTCACGAAAGCCACGTAATTCAACATCAATATGTATTTCATTATGCAAGGAACATATTTTGACTCGAGTTTTTATATTGTGTGGGAAATAAAATCCATCTATTCGGTAAATCGTCCATTATCGCTACCATTCATACCATTCATCCCTACCTTAAGCAATGTTACCTTAAAATGTTCATCGTTAATTAAATGGCCAATGGAAAACGATATTTTATAGAGTAATCGGATATTATATATAGGTATGGGCGTATATGTGGCGACATTAATATTTTAATGTAACCTAATCGTCGCATCGGTGCTCATCACCGTAACGAGAATTTCACCTTTGTGATCGAAGGCTCGCGACTATTGTTATTAGAAGCTCGACGGGGGTGCCGTCAGTTAAGAACTTTCCGTTGCGTTGCCAAAACGGAGCGAAGTTGAGTGCCGAGGTCGCGAAATACGATAGGGATACTCGAGAAGGGCGTTACGCGGACGCTCTACCGCTTAAGCACCAGGAGTTTTAACGATTTAACGAGCCTGGCTATGACTCTGCACTTGGTTGGACACTTACCTCGTCGGCTCGAACTTGTACTGAGGCCTCCGCATGACAAGGAGCCTCGGCAGGATGTGTATGAAGACTCTCTTGACCCAGGGCGCCATCTTGTGGGTTTGGGGCGAGCGGAAGTGGACGTTAAGGACAACCACGGTGACGCATATACTGAAAGCATAGAAACCATAATGGACGCTGTTAGGTCTTGCCGACGCACATTTTCCAGTCTACGATCGAAAATAAATTTTAATTCGCCGACTGAGATTGATCGTTCACCTTGTATTTTAGATGAGATTTATGGGGCTTTACCCTCGAGTCAACCTCACCAAGCTAAACGGTTATTTTGCTTATAATAGTTTTCTTATAGCTTCTTTACAATTAACCCTAAATAAGTATTTGGATTTTCGTAATTTGGATTTTCTTCGGCCTATAATGCTCGAGGGCGTGGATTACGAAAGCCGATGAGTACCGCAAAATGACTTTGGCCAATTTAATATTATTCAATAATTAGTTTATGTGAAGTAAGTATCGTTTGCGAGTGTGACGAGGAATTTCTTATTCTTCTTTTTTTAATTCTTTCTTTTTTTTTTAACGAACGATGAATTAATTATGTGTCCGATGTTAGAAAGTATTTATCTATTATTCATTTAGTTTGTCGGATGGCTAATGATTGAATGTCCTTGAATGAATTTGTCCAGTACGTGTACCGACTGAAAATCACATTTATTCATTGAGATTATAAATAACGTACGAATATTTTATTTTAATCGACCTGATTGACCGAAAAGTAGCATATTATGGCTTTTGTCGTTATATTTAATTTTCACATGCGTAAACTCGTTTTATATAGTAAATAATTTTTCCATCATTGCCACTCTACGGAATAAAAATATTTATTTAAGAGTATTTTATAATGATTGAGTGTATTTTAAAATTAGCAAAATCCAGCGAATTTTCAGCCGAATGTTAATTATTGAATTTAATCATTCATTTGGAAATATTTTTTTGTAAGCATCCTTTTACTTTCTTATCTTTTTATTTAAGAGATAAAATGTCTTACAATTACGTTTAAAAAAAATTTATAATCCTTGTTGCAATATATTTAGTTTATAATCAGCTTAAAATAATTACTGATTTTCTTTTAAATATAATTTTGAAAAATAAGTTTTGCAATTTTTAAATGTTAAATGAAAATCACATTTTGCTTAAAATGCATTTAAATATTAAGAATAGTATTTTTTTTCTTTTCTTTTCTTTCTTTTTTTTTTTTTTTTTGTTTTATCTTAATCTTACGTTTAATGTAAGATGGAGCAGATCTGGTGCAGTTTCCTTTAAGAGAAAAATTTTTTCTTTTTATCCGTAGAGCTTCAGTTTAATTCAAAATTTTTTTTTGTATTTTTTTTTTGTTTTTTTTTTGTTTTTTTTTGTTTTTTAAGGAAACTGCCATAAGTTTCTCATTTTCTTTATAATTTATTTTCGATAAAACTTTATTTTTTATTATAATTAAAATTCACAGATATGTTCAAAATAAAATATATCCAATGTAACGAGTAAGACCTCTTGCAAAAATAATAATTTAATAAGATTATTTATTTGCTTTAGGAAACGAGGATGATTATTAATTTTTTCATTGTTGTTGAAAAAATTTGATCCTAAATTGTAACTTATGGTACATTTAAGGATAAAATAGAAACGAGAAAGCTTTTTTATTTGAATTCTATTTTTACGCTTAAATAGTTTGATAATTGTTTATTTACTTAGGCTTAAGTAAGCGTTTTAAAGAATATTTGAAACAAGAATCTTAAGTTTATTTTTCACTGAAAACTGCTAGGAAATCAACCACGCACCATGAAATTTATGTGCAATTTCTAGATATCTGCTTTACCTAAATATAACTAATATTCATACATTATGGCAGTAGAGTAAAATGGACTATCGAGTTAAGTTTGCATATTATCCTTATACATCCGCTTTAGTATATGAGATTACGTTCGAACTGTAATTGTGTTAATATATTTGCTGCCGAGAAAATGTTAAATTTCGTTTAAAGTTTGCCACAATATTAAGTTTACGTACAAGGGAATCCTCAATCAGAAATCCATTAATTCATTATAGATGATAGATCGCACAATGCTAAAATTACGTAAAATTTGTAAAAAAAAAACAAAAAAAAAAAAAAAACAAAAAAAAACAAAAATTAATATGATTTTAAGCTATTTATTTGACATTATTAATGTATTAATTATTATTATTAATTATTAATGTTGCCGTTTTCAATAATATTCGTAGGCATTAATTGAATCAGAAGTTTTTTGTTAACAGGCTGGAAAGGGTGTGAGATAATAGATAAATAATTTTGCTGAAAGTATGATATTTTTTTATTGTTTTCAAACTATGTCGTTTTCAAATAAATAAAATCCAGCTTAATTACAATTGCAATTATATAATTATTATATAATTATTATTAATCGATACATTTATGTTTATCTTCAATTTTTTGCTTTAAGCATTTAATTTATTTATTCACACTATTTCTTACCGTTTCATTTTCCAATCGGAGCTTTACTTTATTTATAAACTTTGTCTCAGTATTTAACAATTTATAATATATATATATACATATATATATATATATATATATGTATATTACACACCTTTTACTTCCGTATCTTACATATATATATAATAATAATATAATAATAATCTACATTTATAATATTTTGAAATAAAGGAATATATGTTGAACGATTATAGCCTCATAATATTCAAATGTAATAAAATTGTTGATATATTAATTAGATTTTACGACGAGAAATAAGATTTTAATATTATATTTATAGACTGGTATTTGTATTTATACAAAATTATTGTAGTTTAAAAGACATATCAATTAAAATGAGCTTTTAATGTGATGTGAGCGACTTTCTTATTGGGAGTCGCAAACAAAGTATTGCATATTTAAATTACTTTTATATACTTGAAATGTGCATATCAATAGTAAATCTCGATTTATCTAAGACTTTCGAGAGAATATTTAGCGCAGTTAATAATCATTTAATCGTCTAATTACGTATATAGAGCATAATTTAAATCGCCATGAGAATATAATATGACTATAGTAAAAAAAAAAAAAATTTTACTGACTATTTATATAGAAACGTTAGAACTAATAATGCCTCCTAAAGGATTACGATAGTAATAAAAAAAATAATAATGATGATGTGCATGCAACATACCTTAAACATCCGTGTACAACATATATTGAGGTTAAAAATGAAAAAGATTGTCAAGTGTTTGAAGAACCTGTTGAGTAATATAACGATCCACTTTTCTATGAAATAAGTACAAATACCTCGATGTAATGAAAAAGGTCACATTTTCTTTTACGATTATTTACCGTTTGTTCTCGAAATGCCAAATAAAGACAGTAAAAAAGGAATCGAGCAAGCTCTACACGCACCGATCAATTAACTTTCTTTTCACAATACCATTAATTATCACTTTATGGCTTTTTTTCCTATTATTTTTAATAAGCGACGAACTGTTGTTTCTCATGTAAGAAGCTCGGATGCGAAGAAGATAGAAACGTCCCACATGAAATATTGTTCGAAATATCTCTGTGGATTTTGCGAAATTATTTTTGCACCCAATTTCATTTAATCGTCCCCTCGCCCTTACTAACGCTACAAGCCCGCGAATATATAATTAATAGGCATTTATGAGGAGCGCAGCTAAAGGAGATTTTCCGTCATTTAATTGATTCTTCCAATGAGATTTTATCAAGCTACTTAAAGTATGAAAGTCAATTAAGTTTTTCAAGCAAGACAATTCATTTTCTCCGGAGCTCGTGTGCGAGTGCTTTCGCTGACTTTCGAAAGCTCCCGATAATTAAACCAAACAGAGCAATTAACCGCGCAACGGAGAAAGATTTTCAACTCGCGGAACCAATTTTCCGGATCGATTCCCATCTGCTGTTGCGCAGCTTAGGAGAGCCCGTGCCACCGTTTCTGAACTATAACCGTTCGCCCCCCGACCAATCGCGGCCATAATTATCCAATAAATATCTCGCGGCACCTCGACTCCTCCGCTCGGACTCTGTCGACAGCTTTTCAAAATGCAAACGAGCCCCGGCACTGCGGCTGGCGAAAATTCATGCATAAGAATGAATCGGTCACCGGGACTAATGCGCCGACCGCTCCCACGAACACGCGAGGTGCCGCCGCCGCCGTTGCTTTTTTCTTCAACCAGTCCCTCTCG